CTCTCTCTCTCTCTCTCTCTCTCTCTCTCTCTCTCTCTCTCTCTCTCTCTCTCTCTCTCTATCGGGTGTCGATAATGGTGTACAAGTTTACGGAAGCACAGGAGGGGACGTAATAAAGTAAAGCACGTGCCTTAATTGGATACGAGAAGCCCCTCTATTAACGACGCTGCATACCGTGTCACCAAACTGGCGAGCTTTCTCGACATAGTCGAATATTCATGGTCATCGCGGAATAACTCTCGCAAATCGTTCGGCGATGTCGCGGACGCCCCGTGGCCTCGAGCCGGCGATCGGGGGCTCGCGATTTATGATTAGCATTGCAGAGGAACCAGATGTTTTCGTCATTGTTACACGTACAATGCATGTCCACATTGTCTCCCGTCTCTTCCTCTGTAATTTTTTGTTATTACGCGCTTATTGACTGCGAGAACTCGTTAGGAAAATTATGTCGCGCTCGATCCCATGTATGTATGTCGCAACGATGAATGTAAAGTCCTCACGACAGCGTCGCGACGTCGAACGCTGCGAGGGAAATGAACGAGCGATCCGGGGCGTTTCAATTCTTGCAACAGCTAATCTACCGTAAACCGGATCGTCGTTGAAGTGCTATGCGAGTAAAGAGAAAATGAGACGCATGAAACGAGGGAAGAGTAAAAAGATTTGATTTTGGAACGCGGCGCAAGAAACGGAAATCTCCGCAAGAGCCAGACGTCTCCTTCATTTTCTTTCTCTCTCTCCCCCCGCGATATTGCTCGTTACTTTGGTTTTCCCGGGAGATGAGTCCCGAGTTAAATTTTCATATTGTTCGCATTAATTTTCTCGAACTCTGTTGTGCCGTTATTCTCGATCTCTATGATAACCCGTTCTAATTTTTTATTCCGCTTGAACTCGCGATATTTTGTTATTATGCATTCTGGGAAGGAGAGAGAGAGAGGAGGTAAAATTAAAATATCCTCCCGGCGAAGTGTGACAAACTCGCGGAGACGATGGACAGCAGATGTGGAACGTGGGAAGAAAAGAGGAAGCATGAGAGAAGTAGAGATAGAACAAAGACGGAGATTGAGAGCCAAGCAGTCCACGAGTGCTCCGCTCAAATGAGTTATTTCGGTCCACGGCCATCGGCCACGTTTCGTGCACGTTTCCTTGCGAAATCCGTCTGATATATCAATGGCCTAGCCCCGCGAAATGTTGTGGTTTGTATTATTTCTAGATCGGACTTTCTTCCCGCGGGAATACGTCGCTGAAACTGTGCCGAAGATCGTCGACGACACGAATTTGCATTACTCATTGCTCGTCGCGACTCAATACTAAAAGTTATAACGACAAAGATTCCCCGATAAACTTTTCATTGCGAACTCGTTCTCGCATAGTCGAAGCAACGAGACGAAAACAAAACAATCGAAGAGAATAATTGTTAAATAAGAAACTGAACGGTAGTCGATATCTCAATTATTTCTGATATATCCTGCTGAGATAATCTTAAATTAGACAATGAATAAATAGCCATTGCTTGAAACTTGTCCCATCTGAGATACTCAGATATGAATTTAAAGAAAAGAGTTAGATTTGAGTTTTTTTTATTTGAGTCGCATAATATATGCGGCATTACCTTTGTAATCGCGATTCAGCTGAAAAATTCACATTTAACTTTAAATTTGAACTTTAATATTTTAATTGAAGCAAATTTTAAGTAACGACTATTGATACAGTTCAAGTTTGGCTCAAATCCTTTCAGAATCGCAAGAAAGTTATCTCTTTTCTGTGAACAATTCTCTTTTTCTCTTCTTCGTAGCAGTTCTACTTTAGTAATAGATGTTCTTGATAATTACAAATTTTTTACACAAAAAATACGTTACAGTTTTCTAAAAACATGAGGGAACATTCGGCAGCCCAGCGGATGGAGAGAGATAAGGACTTGCCGCAACGGTCGCAAAGTAGTGCGGCTAGCTTAACGTCTATACACGTCGATTTATCTCCCAGTTCTTCTCAATTCTTCGAGGTAAATGTTTCTTTTGATTTATCTACATTTCTTGTGTACAAAACTTCGATAGCTTCAAGTTTAATTAAAGAAACAAACGACTATCCATCTTAATCGTTTCTAACGTAGGAACTGCCAATGTTCTTACTACGTTTGCATTTTAGGTATTCTACGTTGGTAAAATTAAATTATCGTACCCTAAAGTAACGGAATCGTTTATCGATGATACCTTGATAAGGTTTCGTATTCACGAACTCGAGAAGTCGAGATCATCGACGAGTAATCTCCTGTCAGACTGTCAACGGTTAAAACGCCAAGCTTTGACGTCTTCCATTAATAGAAGGAATAGCACGGTAAGAATGTTTTTTCAATTACTAATCAATTTTGCCTTAAACATGATGCACCAAGACAAAATTTGCATTTGATGCAACTATAAAATATCTGAGAATTTATAAATACTTTTATTCTTTGATGACGAATAACTTATTCACTTGTACGTATAAATAATTACATAACAACTGATACAAACGAATTGGCTTTTCGCCAAGTAAGCTGTGTTAATTGGAAGTTTATCGTTACGTTTTCAGGAATCCACCGCCAGTGAATCAGGCAGTATCGAAAACGTGTCGGGAAACAGTATAATTCCATGCGTGAATCCGCTTGGAGTTTCGCCAGTCCTAAGTGGCTCCGCAGAAACTTTTCCAAGAACAAACGCCAATCCTGTGGAAAACAATGATCGTAAAGAGAATCGGACGTCCGAGTCTTCCTCTACTTCTAATATCACTGTACCTGAAGTCATGCGAAATCGCGCGGCGTCTACCGGCAGTGTTTTAACTGGCAGAAGAGATTCTACCTCTAAGACTAACGATAACAATCGCGCTATCCTCTTTCAGGTACTGAATATAGAAAACTATTGTTTTATTTTCAGTGCCATATCAGTCGTTTTCTTCAATCATTATTTATATTAAATTGCACAAAATTGTGATATGCATTAAAGGATCTATAACTTGTGATTTTAATTAAATTAAATAAGAGAAGAGAAAAAATATATATAATTTTAAATAATTAAAATGTAATTTTATATTCTAGGTAGGACGATGCGACTTGATATTGATCAGCCTCCACACAAAACAGCCAGTTCTGAAGAAGCAGTTAAAAGACGTGATCAACTGTATGCAAGGCGTAAAAAATCCCGATCACTTCGGATTTATTTGCAAAGAATCGGACTGCTTCATCGGACATATCTTCAAATGCGAATCCGTGTCAGTTGCGGATGATCTTGTCGCAGGTAAAGTTTCTGAATTTATCTGTGACACAGATAAAATACAAATAATTATATGATATTAATGTCTGTTAATAATAATTTTCACGGTTTCTATTTTTTTATAGCAATCATTCGAGCCCCCGCTGCGATTTGTGATGTCACAAGAAAGGGAAGGTATCCTGTCATTTCTTGCGAGCATTGTCCTATGTACTGGTACGACAAGCTAAATCAAGATATTAAAGGTAAAATAACTGTTATTGATCATACTTTAGAAATAACAGGCGATCTCGTACACAGTTTTAATACGATATTAATATTCTCAGGACAAACTGACAGAAAAGTGCAAAATATCATATTTTCGCGTATGGAATTATTGCCGGAAGATGAGCAAGAGATCGTTGTGAACAAGTTCAAAGGTGCCGAAGCGGCGGGTAACATCGGTGTAAGCTCCTCGAATCTCCAAGAACAAAATCAATTCCTAATGCGACTGTTGCGTGCTCATTGCGAGGCAAAACAAATTAGACACGTACACGACACGGCTGAGAATAGGTAACGTGCGCCATATATGTACATAATAGATTTTCTATTGATATTATGCACGTAAATCAAGATATAATTTGCAAATGTAATGTTTCAACGTAACATCTCGTATTTTACGTCATAGGAGTGAATTTCTCAATCAGTATCTAAGCGTCGGTGTGGGCAGCACAATGTTCAAGAAGGCACGTTCTTTAGCAAATAGTTTTGACAACTTTATGAAAAGGAAAGGTTCCCGTGACGATTTTGGTTTGGGTCATTTGAGGGATGCTAGTCATCTTGCAGGAATGCAAAAGAATGACAGCCAGAGCCCAGACAACTCACGACAGTCACCTGTATTGGGCACTTCGCCGGAGATGGGAAGACGAAGATCCTTGCGCGTCTCTCCCGAACAAATAGTTGTGAAGAATGGATCAAAGAGTTCTATGATGGACATGTTAGTATATCTCAGTATATCCTAATACTGTAATAATTACTGTAATAACTGTCGAACAATTTTCTTTCGGTACTATTTTATCGTCTTTGTATAATTATGTGTTTATCGAATTCCTTATAGCTTTTTCAAAGTCGGAAACTCGCCAAAAACGTCTCCTACGGAGACTGACGGAAACACGATTCCAACTAATAGCTCGTGGCGACAAACGATACTAAACAAAGTCGTGACACCGAATAAAGCTTACAACATCAAAGAAATTGATAAAGTTGGAAGGCTCGGTATCGCTGAGAACTCGGAGACACCCACTAAGCGCAGAACAAAACAAGAATTACGAGACTTGTGGAAAAAAGCAATCAATCAACAGCTGATGCTTATCAGAATGGAGAAAGAGAACGCAAAACTTAGTGGTACTAAACTTTTTCCAGTTGTGGAGATAAATCGTTCTATAATCATACGATGCACGATATTCACGCTTTTTTTTTTAATTTCAGAACGTCAAGAGGAGGCAACGGTAAAAAGAAACAAATTGGAATATGACGAGCTCAGCAGCTGCATCCATCCGGTAGAAATATGGGACATTTGCGTTAACAAAGAGTCGCGAATCTCTACGAAATGTGATAATCAAATGCTTTTACACGCTATCAAGCAAGGTAATCAGAAACAAAATATATCTTATCAAAGCACAATATTAAGATTTAATTTTTTCGTCGAAATTCTTTTTTAGTACAATGAATAAATTTCTTTAATTACAGGTGTACCAAAAGGGAAGAGAGGCGAGGTTTGGTATTTTCTGGCCGAACAATTCTGCTTAAAACAACCGCCTATGGACACGCAAGATTTCCCATATTATAACACACCATATAAGTTACTTGTGAAGCAACTTACACCTTATGATCATGCTATTTCGATCGATCTGGAAAGAACATTCCCGGGCTATCCGTACTTCAGTTTACCCATGGAAGATACTAATCGTCCACCAGGACAGTTGGAGCTGTTTAACTTGTTAAAGGCCTACTCCTTGTTAGATTGCGAAGTCGGTTATTGTCAAGGCCTGAATTTTGTCGCTGGAGTACTCCTCCTGCATGTGAGTGCAAGTTAAATGTTTACGTTATCTTTTTTAATAATTAAATAGAGTATAATTAAATAGAGATTTTTATTAAATAGAGTATTATAATTTATTGATTTCTCGATGTCAGATGCCGGAAGATCAGGCCTTTTTCTTGTTGCGACATCTGATGTTTCGCCGAGGACTCAGGAAATTGTATCTGCCAGACATGTCAGCGTTACAATTGCACTTGTATCAACTTTCTAGACTGCTACACGACCGGTTACCAAACATCTACAATTACTTCGAGAAACACGACGTTTCGCCCACTTTATACGCTACTCCGTGGTTTTTAACTTTGTTTGCCAGTCAGTTTCCTCTTGGTTTTGTAACTAGAGTTTTCGGTAAGATTTATATATTCACATTCAACAGTAATTTATATGTAATTCAATTTTCAAAATTGTACCTTTTTTTAATATCTGTCTTTGTTTTTTTACAGATTTACTTTTTCTGGAGAGCTCAGAGGTTCTGTTTCGTGTATCGGTTGCGTTATTAGAAGAACATCAAGATCAATTGTTAACTCGTAATAGTTTTGAAGGAATTATGGAATATTTCAAGGTAAAACTATATCTGAGTTTTCACTATCAATTAAAGTACTAAGAACAGTAGAAAATATTTATATGAATATCATCATTATATCTTATTTCTGATTTTAGACAAACATACCAGCAGTAGACAAACAAATCTTAGATCGTGTGATGAAGCGCGTATTTTATCCCGACTCTGAGATTACAAAGCAGTTGAACGAGTACAAGGTGGAATACAGAGTACTTCAAGAAGAAATGTTCTGGATGAAACCGAAAATGGAGAAATTAGAGAAATTCACTTTAATAAACCAGCAACTCACGCAAGAAGTCGCACAACTTAGAGAACAACTCGAGGTAATACGATAATAGTATCTAAAATAAAGATTATAATTGAAAAAAATTTAATAAAAAAAATGAGATAAATGCATAATTTGTTTAAAATGTACTCAAGATATAACATCATCTTTTGTGCAAACTTGAAAAATTTTTTACTTGTCTCATTTAATCATTCTAACGCTTCAATTATGTTACAGATCACCCTGAGTAATTTACAAGTAATGGAAACTACACGTACAATGCAGCAATCAATGGCCCACAAACTCGAGTCTCAGAATCGCAGTTTCGAAGTAACGATAACAACATTAGGCGCGTTCATTCAGCAATTAATAGATACGCGTGCTGATATCGACGTGCCGGGTGATGTTCGTAGGATAATTACGCAGTTGAGCATGGTCGAGAAACGACGAAATATAGGAATCAAGTCGCATCCTTTGAAACTTATCGAGGATAACAATAAGCACAGAATGATAAAAAGTAACTCAACCGGGAGAGAATCTCAAAATCTTTTGAGGAGCAATAGTATAGCCGAACCACCGTATCCCTTGAAGTCAACTTTAAGCCAACCCAATTTAGCAACGAAATCTGAGAAAAGCTCTTCATTCTTCTCGAACTCGCACAATCATATACAAAAGCAACGCGCGCAGTTAGCGGCTCTTAGGAACGAATATTCCGAGCAAGCGATAAGAGGTAACAACGACGAGAACGATCCCAAGACGGTCAATATCGATATTCAAATAACGGACACTATGAATCTGGCCAATAATCCGGTTCCTCAGAATGAGAATAACTTAAAGGTTCCAGCAACTAATTTAGAGAAATCAATATCGTTGCCATTGAAGTCTAAGTTGAAAATATCGAAGTCGGCGTATGAATTAGGATCCGTGAAAAAGGTGCCCACCAGCAAATTGGAAGTCACAGGTAACGACTCATTAACGAATTTGACGGGAACCGTACATCCGCTGGATACTTGCAGCGACGTGAATTTCCGATACGGCGGAACCACTAAATTGAAGTCCATCAAACCTGTCAGATTATCGTCTAGTCCGAACACTCAGGAAGATGGCAGTAACAAACAAAAGGCTGACCAGCACTCCGATTCTTGGACTAGATAACAGTTGCTTTTAAACACGTCTTCGAAAAGCGTCCTGTCGAAGAAAGGAATCTTCATAAAGAATATATATTTGAAACGATATTGGTAATAAATAGATTAAGATTGCGTATGCATATTTGATTACTTACATATACATTTTTCAAGAGAGCAAGTTGCAGCGCAACTGCGTACTTCATTTTAATCGTACAATTGTAGGAAGAAGTAGTTTTTCTTAATTTGCTGTGAAAAGTTTTATAATTGATGTTACAACTTATAAAAGTAAGACATACGCATGTACACACGTGCGCGCGTACGTACAAAGGTATTGTATTGGGAAAATAACATGTATTAAAATCTAGAGTCACACATGCGAGCAAATTATCAAATAGAAAATTCACTCTATCAGATAAAAGTTTAAGGTAAAGACATAAAAATATATCAAGAACATATTTATACCCAGAAAATGAAACAGATATCAAAATAAGACATTAAAAACGTATACAAATAGTTTCAGATTGCCAAAGGAAGTGCCAAACTTTCTCTATGTGAGAATACACATTTTATAGTAGAAAAGCGACTTTAGTTACATAAAGAGACGTATGTATATAGATGTATACTGCGTATATATACATATACACACACTGCGTATAGATGCGGTTATGTCGTTTGAAGAAAAATGCATATTTATAAAAGCCATTAATATATATAGGCTGCTATGCACTGTAAGATTCAAAGAATTAAGTATTACTATTTTTGCACAAAACGAGCCTTGTGATATCAGGGGTATACTTAACAGTACTCACTGTACTTTATAGTAAAGAAGTTTTACCATCGCTATAACGCGAAAGTAGTATTAGCACATCTAACATCCATATCAAGTGTGTTGAAAAACTAGCGAATAGTGAATTGCACAGTTCCCATAAACGTATTTAAAACTGATGATACTGTAACGGATACTTATTAAATAGAAATAGTCGTGAAAATTATAAAATTATATATTTTGTAGTGTCCAAGTCTATAATATATATCTCTATCAACTATAATAATTACTTGTAACTGTAGCCAGGTATCGTTTGTAACGAAATAATGTGAGTGTAGTCGTATTCACGACAAAAATAAGAATTCTCTAAGTCTCATTGTTTGTCGTTGTCGGATATATTATTAGAATAAACCATATTTTGTATTAGTACTAAGAGAGATATTTAATATAGATTTTTCATAAATTTTTTGTTGACTTATCGACCTTGTTGATGATACGTAAGAGTAGCGAACACATATTCGATAAAAATAAGATCATTTTATGAAATATGCAAGTATATTAATATTTAAAAATAACACAGGAGAGAAAAGGAGAGAAGATAATAATTTTATCCTTACGATGCGTTTCGTCAGGTAAAGAGTGACACTTAAGAAATGTGTTTGTGAAGTTTGCTTTATTGCATAAAACAATGTTCTATAAAATTATTACTTTCACTTATGTTCTTAGATGATACATTTTGAATCCAGGTAAGGTACAGAGATGCAAAGTAGTTGAGTTTCGGAACTTTTATTTGAACATATTTTTGCTACCATGTCCATAATTTCATCATTGAAAGAAAATCACTATCCTCTTCTCTTAAACTTTTGGTTTGCATCTTTATTGCAGGAGATTATGAATTTTATTATACTTCCAGATACTACGCTATATACGAGATTATATACAATTTCTATTTTTCCTTGCGTTTTTATTCCTTAATGTTTCGTTTTGGATATACTTGTCCTGCAAATAAAATATTACTATATTAAAATTTTAGTTCACTCGTTATAATTAAAAAAAACTTACCAAACATATTATGGATATGTTTACTTTAAATACTTTTATTTGTTAAGGCTCTGCTATCTCTGTGTAGAAAGTCAGAATTGACCTAGCAATGTCGAGAACACGAAATAACCGTGTCAGCGTAGCTGATTGGCTGACACTCGGCCAGGCTCACGCTAGGCCTCGCTTGACACCTCGGAAAATTACTTGCATTTTATCGCGTTATTTTTTCAGTTTCTTCGTGAAGTGCGTATATTATCGTGATCTTCACAACCATAAAATGTACAGCAAACTCAGTGAAAATCAAGAAATTAAATGTGTTCATACAGGCTGGTATCTCAGCTGTCAAACCACCGTGACAGCTGAGCGAAAAATGTAGTATTATTTCAGGAATTATTTTACGATGCTACGTGATATATCAGCCAGATATCAAAGTTTGCTGTACTTTTTACAGGTTTCAGAATTAGGAAAATATTTGGTTCTTCAGGGAAAAGTAAAAAATAAAGCAATAAAATGCAAGGGATTTTCAGTATGGTATTTCTCGCTTTTAACGTCATCAAACCAAAATGGCCGTCCCAGAGATAGCAAAGCCTTAATTTGTGGCTCCTGATTAGGCTGCGGTCCGAAACACGCTCACAGTGCTGTCAGCGCACTCACGATCAATCCGATTTATTTCATGAACGTTTTTCATGAGCGAAATGACGTCATGAACTGATGACGTTACGCGCTTATATTGACCGCAGATGGGTCGTCGTAAGCGATACGTGATTTGCGCGGAAAAATAGGAACGCGTATAGAAAACGCGTATAAAAAGGTCGAAAGTCGTCAGAAGTAATCTATTCAAAAGGTTAACAGCAGAATTACATAATAATAAAATTTGTATTACAAATAAGTATTACAGCAGCAATCAAAATCGATACAACATACTGAAAATGTATTTTGAATTCTTCCGCTGTATATCCAAGAATAACTTTTCTTAGCCTTCAATTCGAGGTCTTTTGTCTAATTTTCTCCTCTTTGTAATCATAATTAAAGCGACACACAAATAAATATCCCCCATCTTTTTCGTCGTTCGAAAATTAATGAATTACAAAATTGAAATAATTATCTTCCAAATCCTCGAATACAGTTTCCATGCATTGTAGTAATGTAGCTTTAAATGTTAAATGTTCACACTTTTTGTTTAGATTTAAAATGTTAAATGTTCACACTTTTTGCTGCTCAACACGAGTGGATTTGTCGTGTTTTAATCTATTTTCTGAAGTTAAGAATTATACCTATAATAATCACAAGCGGTCGGAAATGAAATCATTGACTGCGTTCAGCAGAGAAAGCTGCTTTGCAACTATTGTAAAATTCGTGAATCTGATTGGAGTATGCTCTTAATTTTGGTTAAATCTAAGAGCATGTACCAATCAGATTCACGAATTTTACAACAGTTGCAAAGCAGCTTTCTCTGCTGAACGCAGCCATTGTTAGCACGCTCACATTTCGTACCGATCATAAATCTCGTGAGCACTATTAGCGTCGTGAGCATATTTCGAACCGCAGCCCTAGACTGCGTTCTGTTATTTACTGCAAGTACTATCAGTATTACCAACAGCGTTCCTAAATAGGTTACAGTGCACTGCGAAAGCACTTCGACGAGTTTGTGACGTCATGAATAAAACTAAATGTATTATACTGTATAATACAGTGTATAATATAATGCATAATATCTCAATATAATACGTGCCCAACCCTGCTCGACAGTGCTCGAAGTTAAAATGGAACGCTATTAGTAGTATACTTTCATGACGTCATAGCGTTAGTACTCACAATAAATAAAGGAACGCACCCCTAGTCAGGCGAGAAGTCCACGTTGACGGTGGCGACACAGCCATCAGTGGTAGGAATAAGAACTGTGTTCATCGATATATAAAGCGAATTATGTATGTATGTGTGTAACAGCCACCTAATTTTTCCATCCGAATCACGGCGTTATTATTGACTGTAGTGCTTACATATCACACATAACACAATTGCGGAAGTGTTGGAAAAATACTCTGGATACTGTGCTTTTTGTAATATTTTAACCATAATAGTACTTATTCTATCATATTCCGCACAGAGTCTCACAATTGATCTCCTGTCAAAATAAGCCGATTTTCACACGTATATTTAGCAGTGTTGTAAAGGTTATTTCGGGAAATGAACACTATCCGGAGCATTTTACGAGTGTATAGGATCGACTGCAAGTATTACTTTGTTAACGTATCTTTTTGTAATAATTCAAGCGCAAAATTCGTGTGCAATTTCTCGCTCCTGACGTCATCAACCAATATGACCGCAGTGACTAACCAGGAGTCTTAAGTTTCTAAATTAATTTATTGAGAGAACTACTTACGTTTGCATCTGTTTACTGCCGCTGAGCACTATGTATGGTGATTGAGTTTCCTTTTGTTTTGCTTGCAGTAAATTGAGTGTGCCCAAAGGAGTATCCGTTGAAGACATCCTCTTCATGAGAACTTCTTGTTCAGCTTTCTTCATTCTCTTCTCCACCTAGAAAACATACACATTGCAGAATTACTACAATAACTTCGAATATAAATCACGACTTAAATGAGAAATATATTATGATAAGTTTCTACGTGGAATATATTTCTGTCATTAGAATTTAATATACCAACCTTATTTTTTCCAGGACCTTTTCCATGAAATTTATGTGACAAATATCGGAAAGCTTCCTTGGCACTTAGAACGTGACCATCATCATCGATATACTCAAGCTTAACGTTTGGCTTGAAACTGTCCTTCTCTTTGAAATCAGATGTCGGTCCGTTAAAGCGATCCCTTCGGCCAAATTTGTCGTCATCTCTGTAACAAAAATAACATTATCTAGCAAGTGCAATATTAAATTATCAACTTTTTATCAATTAGATTCAAGTTTTCTTTACTTAAAGATTTTAACTAAAGATATGATTGTGTTTTATTATTATCTTCAATAGCTAAATTTAAATATTATAAAAACAAACTAAGAATCAAAGCCCTTGAAATACGGTGTTCTGAAACTTGTGTCCACTACCAACACTAACAAGTCTTAATGATGGATAACGCTCGTAAGTCTTCGAGATATATTATATTATGCGATTGGATTAAAATAAACCTAAACAAGTCGATTAAAATGACTAATTTCAAATATTTAATCGCAATATAATTAAGTATTCCAATATGCAATAATTTCCAAACGTACTTAATTATTTAAATTCCACACTATTGTTTAATGCACTTTTGATTCTACATAATGTATATTATCCTGAAGTCAATATGTGAAAACGAGTTTTAATATTCATGCAAAGATATACCTATAGACATTCTCTTTCTCCTCTTCATATCATTCATGTAAAATTCAGTATTCAAATCATTATCCAGATTCAGTATTCAAATATCATATTGATATTTGAATCGTAAAGCACTTATTGTTGAACATTATATAATCGTTGAATAATTTACCATAAATTATACCGATTCGTATTAAATACACATGCAAGATTTACAATTACATAGTAAAATGTAGTCGCATTAAACGGAAACGAACGTCAACTTCTTCTCCTGAATATTTATTTCAGTGTTCGGTAATTTTTGCGATATAATAATCATGATTTATCCCACGAGCGAAGACTTGTCTAGAGTCTTAATATGATCCGCAGCAACATCGCATAACATAAACATACCTTAACAAATCCTACTCTCTTCTCAGCCTTCTGTTCGCCTCCTTGAGTTTAAGCGGTAAACTCTTGTAGCGGTAGTGGATCACCGGTTCCGAGCACCGTTTTCCGGGCTCTATTTAAAACTGTTAACTGACAGTTTGAAATTCACTAGAGACTTGTCTAACAGAGTGTTTGTGGAGGCGCATTCGACATGAGAATGTTTCTTACATACTCTGGCACATACGCCCTCGAATCACGTAAGAAATTTTCTTATATCGAATCGCGATAATATATGTGACCAACTTACCCGTATGTTTTATCCTCTATCGAATAATTCTGAGCTTGCAAGTGTGCAAATCGTGACGCTGACGGTCGATTGCTGTCTTCTTTTTGCAAGTAACCTTTACTCATTGCTAATTTTAAAGCGCCACCTACTCCGTGCCCAAGTGAAGGCTCTGCATCCAGAATTGCTGCCTCCATCACAACTGGTTCCGAAGTATTCTCGTCTGTTCCCATAAAATTTACATGTTAGAGAAATGCTCGGAATAGTATATGTCATAATTATAAGTCATGTCGTGTGATACTCAAAAATATTAATTTTCTCAGAAGTATATTAGTTTTGAAATTAATTTACTCCAATATGCAAAATACCTAAATGCACTGTGTTCCAGGCACCACGACCATCGTCTTCGTCTTCGTTCGCAGGTGGCTCATCTTTAATTCCATCCATTTCAAAATCCTGTAATATTTATGTTAGATAAATATAACTATAAAAATATTCATAAATATGCAATCAACTATTAAATCACATCGTATTCATCACACCATAAGTTCTTGTCCATTCTCTTCCCTGTTTCCAGCAAGTCCATATGTAGGTATATCTCCTAAGGTTCTGCAAAACTCTGCAGTAGCATTAAGAACAATATTGCCAGGCTGATTCTCCTCTGAGTTTAATTCCTGTTTTATCGTTTCAACCGTTTTTTGAATGCTTGGATGCCCTTCCTTCAAGCGCTGAGCTTTCTTCAAAGCCAACTGTAACTCCAATTCCTTATCATCTTCCTCAAGTTTTACTCCGGTAAGATCTTCTGTAGGAGCTATTAACAAAAATTGTATAAGGCTTTAGAGAAACTGTATGTATATGACTTAATAATATACAATTTACAAATGACTCAACAGATCGATTTATCTCTAATAATCTTATAACAAAGTTAAGTAAATATAATTAACTTTATAAAATGCATACCTTCTAAATCATCAACATCTAAAGCATCATTATCTTTAGAGTCTTCTGGTTTCTTCCTTCTCCTACTTCCAAGATCCCGAAGATAGTCATTATCAACAGGAAGTAAATCATCAGCCTTCAACTTCTTCTTTGTTCTAATTTTACGAATCTAGAATTATAAATTTCATGTTATGATATATATATATATATATATATATATATATATATATATATGTGTGTGTGTGTGTGTGTGTGTATGTGTGTATGCTTCAAAGTATTATTTCTTTTAACAATATTATAGATATAAAACATGTAATATACAATATACAATAATATAACATACTATATGCCATATACATATATACTTTTTTTAAATATTAATATCTTTTTCACACACATCTATTAGAAGGAAATTTTTTACCTTCTTTTTTGGTTTCTTAAACTTTGCCAGCTCTTCTTCATTGTAATATTCACTGGCTAATTTTGGTTCGGCCATTTGCAAGGTTTCTAGCTTTTTATTTGCTAAACGTTGCTTCACAGTTTCTACTTGACGTCGTTTCAACTCCACAGAGTTATTAATGCCCAATACAAAATTATCCTTTTTCTCGCCGTCGATTTCTTCATCGTATTTTTCCAGAATGTTACTTTTAGGAAGTCCATATTCATCGAAATTTTCTTCATCGTATGGATCATACGTAGGTTTTTTAGTTTTATTTAAGATGCTACGTTTGTAACGTTCACTATCGATCATATTCACATTTACAAGCAGATCACCAGTTTCATCTAATACCTCTTGATCTTTCAATGTTAGGATCACAGTTTTACCTTCCTCAAATGTTTCCTGCAAAATACATGTATTTCTCCTTCAATATTTATCACAAATAAATTTAAAAAAGAGAAGAAAAACTCAAATTTTAATTTACATGATTTATAAAAATTGTTATATATAGTAAAGAAAAACATTATTATACTTACAACATTATGTTCAACTTTAAGACCCTTTAAATCTTTCTCTGTATATGCTGTGTTACGAGCAGTATGTATTTCTTCTTTGACTAAGTTTCCAATTCCAAATTCTTCATCCAACTGATCTAACATTTTTGCCTTAAATATAAATAAGGAAGTTTTAGATATTTATAATAGATTCTCAGGAGTAATTTTATAAAATATTGTATGTTATCCTGTGATTGTATGTAATCTATAGATTGGACTGTAATCTATGGTATGTAATCTACATTAGATATAGGATTAGATATTATAAATGCAAAATTATATTACTATATCTTTAAAATATAATTACTATACATAATATTTTAAGAAAAAACTGTACATGTTAAGTAAAATCTATGATAATAAATCCAAAAATTGAGTTATAGAAAGTTAACTCTTTAAGTCAGTGTATCATATATGATACATATTTCTTAGAGCAGTTTTTACAAGTTTAAACTAATTTATAGAGACTTTGAGAAGATAAATATGGATTCATTGTGAAGTTTAGATGTTCCTCTAACAAAATCATCTGCATAGAACATTAAATTTTGCAAGTTTAATTATTCATAAACAAATTAATGTAAAAAAATTGTATTTTTAGAAAAAAATTTATTTGCCAAAATATTGCTAAGTAAACCTACGAAAAAAATGACTTGGTTGATGCTTTTTGATGATGACACAACCTTGGTTGATGCTTTTTGATGATGACGCAACTTTGGTCGATAGATTATAGATGATGATAAGTTATAGATGATGATGCACTTCAAAAATTTCAAAATTTAAGATGGCGAACTCAATATAGTGAGCTAAAATACCAACAATCAGGATAAGTTATATTTCTTCCCGTAAATAAGTGAAGTTGAGTCTGTGAATGGCTTAAATTTTAAAAGTTTCGAATTCGTGATCAGCGACGCCAAAAACCCTTGGATATCATTTTCCACGAAAATTGAGGGAGTTATAAAATTGTCGTCCATCATATTGAATTCACCATCTTGAATTTTCAAAAACAGACTTTAAATTTTAACTAGTAACTCCAAAAACTCCCAGATATTGATTGAGCAAAAAGTTGTGTAGAAAAATTTGTGACTTTAAGGGTTAAAATAGTATATTTAGCATAGTAGGTAAAATAAGTTTAAAGATATTAGAAGTATGCAGAATTAAGAAAGTGAGGAAAGAAAATGTACAGGATAACATAAAAAGCAAAAGATAGAACAGTATAAACAGGGACAGTGAAGATAGCTTTAAGGCATGATAGTGAAATTAGATATAGAAGTGTATAGTTGTACATATAAGTGTGTAGAAATACTGTAAACTAAGTCCCCTTTTGCTGAAGAAAATAAATATTATTATTACTACACACAGTATTCTTATATATGTAAAGTTAGTATATAAATATGAAAAATTGAGACATTACTCTTTCTTCTGCTTTCTTTTTTTCTTCCTCCAATTGCCTGGACTTAGTGATCCATGTGTGGGTATCATCATCAGAATCATATTCACCCAAAGATTTTACCTTGGACAAATTTGCTTCAATCTGGCGTTTTTGCTTTTGGGTACCTAGTTTTTCTCTTAGTTTCTCTGCTTTTATTTTTTCATTGTTATTTGGTGCAGGTTTGTGATAGAATTCTCCCAAATCATCCTTAATTTTACTAGGATCATCTTTAGATGTGTTATCAACTTCTAATGGTTTCAAGCCTAATTTTGCACGAAGTTTATTGGTTTCCTCGATAGATAAAGAGGTTTGTGCTGCTCCACCTTTAATGGGAGATGGACTGCGCTGTTTGGAAATTTCAGGTGGTGGAGGCGTCGATGGGTGCGATGACTTTGATATTTTTGGTGGTGGTGGTGCATTAACGATCTCAACTGAAAATAGGACAAAAAATATTTTACTCACCTATAATATAAACTAGCAATTATATATATATATATATATATATATGTATATATATATATATATATATGTATATATATATATACATATATATACATATATATACATATATATACATATATATACATATATATACATATACATACATATATATACATATATATACATATATATACATATATATACATATATACATATATATATATTTTATATATATATATATATATATATATGATATATATGATATATATATATATATATGTGTGTGTGTGTGTGTGTCGTATTTCTTACCATCGCTGTCATAGTCCTTGCGTTCTTTCCTTCTGTGCTTCTTGTGATGCCTGTGCTTCTCCGATTTCTCACGGTCGGGCGTGTAGCTCCTAGAGCGACTGCGGTGACGCTTCTTTTTAGTATCACGAGATTTTTCGGTTTTGTGACGCTTATTAGAACCCATTGTTGACGTTTTGGATTTAATGCACTTGTGGAAATTATAGAATTACTTACTTATAACTTTATAATGATTAAATATCACTATTACGAGCCAGAGTATCGAGTAACTCAAGGTATCTGAGTACGGCAAACACGCTGTAAACTACCTCGATACACCTCTTTCTCACTTCGCCATATTGGCTGCGTCACTTCCGACGGATGCGTTAAAGCTGCGTTCCGAAACTCACAACCAGGGCCCCTATTCTTGAAATTTTTGCGTATATGTAATTTTCATTGCGTAGCTATTTTATGGTATGATTAAACCTGCGCAGTAAAACTTACGTATACGCAACTATTTCAAGAATAGGGGCCCAGTGCTGGGATTCTGTAAAGCCAGCGGCATATGATGCTTGTTTCCTGCTGGATTGCTTGCTGGATGGAAATACTCTATTCTGATTGGTCCATCTTCAAAAATGCACCAATCAGAACAGAGTATTTCCATCCAGCAAGCAATCCAGCATTTTGTACATGTATATTAGTGTCAGCCTACAACCTCGTTTTAAGCTTTAAGCGTAAGCAACTGACCAATCACAATCGATTATTCTTGAGACAATAAAGAGAATAATTGACTGTGGTTGGTCAGTTGCTTAAGGCTTAAAGCTTAATGCGATTTTGTAGACCGACACTTACGTTTTTTACATATTTTACGTAATTTTTACATGTATATTACGTAAATGTAAAAAACCCTAGAATTTGTCAAATGTCCCAACCCTGGTTGAGACGTGTTCGAACACGTTCGGATCTGATTTTTTTAGAATTCGTACCTCAGTACCGTGGATGAAAAGACAATAGAGGTCTGTTTTCTATTCCTGCACTGATGAACTGGTGCAATAAGTTAAAGCAAGACAAGTATTTTTTCTCGCTCTAACTTATTGCACCAGTTCAGCAGTGCAGGAACGAAGAACAAACTTTAGAGATAAGTCTGAGTCCAAGTAAAATAAAAAGAGACAAAATAATAAAAGACAAAAGAGAGAGAGAGTGGGACATTTAAACATCCATTTAAATGTATAGGAGAGTAAAGCATCTCTGGGCACCAGGAGGAAAATAAAGTCTATTTAGATTTCTTTTCTATTCTTTTACTTTATTATTTGTATAATTTATAAGGATTTATATATGATTCATATATAAATATCTACGTGTAAATATAAAAATTAATTATATCTTACGTAAATACATTAAAAATTTATAATATGAATGTTTATAAATTTACAAGAATTAATAAAAATTAATAATAGTACTTTCACATTGAGTAAAATTTATTTTTACAGACGGCAATAATACGATTCATGAATCACCATATCTGGTGTAACATCCTTGACAGATGCACAACCTAAAAGAGATATGAAATAATTAAGTAACTGATGAGACAGAATTTGAGAAATTAATAACATCTGTTGTAACTTGCCAGTCAATGTAAAAGCTAAGTCAATTTCTTTTTTCATAAGTTCGAGAACCTCTTTGGCGCCTTTCTCACCGTCGTATGCCAGACCCCAAAGCATCGGTCTGCCAAAGAATACCTAAAGGATAGAACACAACTGATCAATAACAAAAACATAGATAACGAGGTGTACGCATATACAATATGATCCGAATATTGTCGCAAGCTGTTCGATACATTCGTACCATTTTTGCACCCAGTGCCAAGGCTTTAAACACATCAATACCCTGCCTCACTCCCCCGTCCATATAGACTTCGACCTTATCTCCCACCCCTCTGCTTATTTCCGGCAAAGCTTCGATCTGCAAATATAAATTAACTTAATAATTCGTATTGATCCTCGAATATAAAGTGAATGTTCAATACTGTTTAAAAAATTTCTACTCAGTGTAAATATCAATAACATAACATCAATATTATTATTTCCTACTCAAAAATACACAATATATAACTTGTGTTTCATGTAATTGTTACATTGTTATATAACACTGATATAATCCCAGACAACACAATCTACTGAAAGATGTCGTAAAAGTGTTCTGTCTCTTTTAGATGTCTTTTGGATATTTTTAAGGCGTCCTTTAGTAATTTAGCGCTATCTGAAATGTTATGGTTTATTGGATAAGTCGTTCTAAGTACGAGAACTGAACCTACTGTAGCTGGAACACCGTCTATCTGACGTGCACCATGATTTGACACGATAATACCAGCAACCCCAATTTCCACAGCCAATCGTGCATCTTCAATCGTTAGGATTCCCTTGAGAATAATCGGCAGTGTTGTAATCCTGCAACGAATCAGCTCTAATCATCTTGAAACGACTCGCTCGATGCAATCAACTCCATGATAGATGTTGTTCAGATAAGTCAAGTACGATGACGATGTCAACATGAATACCTTTTGAGCCATTTTATATCTTCCCAAGTAATGGAGGGGTCAAACAATTCGGCGACGTATTTATTAATGGCAGAGCCGTTTTTTGAGGAACTTGTTTGTTGCGACAAATTACCTTCGAAATTCGCAAACCTGAAATGGTATATTTGTTTATAATATTGTAAGAAACTAAAGAGAATTTCGCGAAAAAATTAACTCGATAACATAAAAAGGCATAAATACTTAGGCTAACTAATAGATCGCGAATAAAAACACAGGCGCCTAATACTTGCGAGAGATCTCGCTTTTCAGTGACCGATTATTACAATATCATATATAGAGAAAGAAACAAAAGGAGGACAAGGTCAAAGAGAAAGAAAGTAAGAGATTTGATGTTTCATTGAGTCACTCATAAAGGGCAGAATATAGGAAAAGCATAGGAAGCATTGCACACAAAAGAAAAGATCAGAAGTTTCTTTTAAGCCACTTGACGACTTTGTAAGATCAGTTAAGACTCTTGATTCCATTGCTTGGATTGATGATGTCAGAAGTGAAAAAATGTATGCCAAAAGTTCTTGTGTGCCATTTTCAAATAAAAAGATATTTATTTGAAAAAATACTTCAAATCGTATTTGAGCATGCTTGTAAAATGCTTAAAAAACTCTCCTTTTTACTAGCTAATAGTTAAGTCATATATCTCTTTTTGTCTTTCTCTTTCAAATTAGACAAGGATATTTCACTGTTAGCTTACCAAGAGAGATTGGAAAAATCAACCCTAAATGTCACGTAGCTCTAAAGTGCATAGAGATAAGTGGTCGATATTTTAATACCGCGAAATTCGATTAGCCTCTCTACTTTTACTCATAAATGTCAAATACCTCAGGTGGCTAGGCAAAGCAAAATTATTCTTCACGTCGGCGCGTCTATCACCAAATATCGGCGCATCGACAGTGACGACCAATGCCTTGAAGCCGGAACGTTCAGTGCGTCTAATTAAGTTCAAAGTAACGCTCCTATCGCGATAAATATAGAGTTGGAACCATTTTATGGCATTGGGCGCCGCTTCCGCCACTTCTTCTATGCTGCTCGTCGATATCGTCGACAGTATGAAAATCGTTCCCGCTGTCTGAGCAGCTGCAAATTGACAAAACGGAAATTATTGTTTGTTGAGGCCGTCATGCAAGAATACGACGTCATGAACATTATTGCGTAATTAACGTGAGAATAGCTCGAATAGTCTGACAATGTATGGATGAAATACCTAGCGAGTATGTAGGTTAGTTGTTAAATCTATTGCAAATTTACTCGCATCTCGAATTTGTAAAAATCAATTAATTTCAAGTCTGTTCTTTTCAGTTGACTGCTGAACTGGTGCAATAAGTTAAAGTGAGACAAGTATATGTTTTTTCACTCTAACTTATTGCACCAGTTCAGCAGTACAGCTAAAAAGAACAGACTATTCATTACGTCTCCGTGTTGCGTTTTTTTTTGTTTTTTTTTTCACGTTCCGAAGTTGCTTGGTTATCGAAGTTATCGCTGGCATTGTTGCCTCTTTTCCGATACCGATTGGCTGTGCGTGTGGCCGACTTCGTGTCGCGCCGGGCTATCATCGTGGCGGAGTCGAGTGACAGTTTACGTGCGTATTACGAGAACGGGATTATAACGAGGGAAAATGAGAATAGGAGAAAATAGTAGAGAATGAGAGAGAATAAAGGAGAATTAAGAGAAATTAAGAGAAAATAAGAGAGAATGGGAGAGAATAAAGGAACATGACAACATTTAGCCGTATTAAAATTCGTATATATATGTATATATTTATGTATATGAGACTATAATAATAATTATACATATGAGACTATGTATATTATGTCTATGGTCTCTTTCTACATGTTGGTTTCACTTTTCTGGCCGTTTACGGGGTCCATGTATACTACGTCCATGGTTGTACTCAAATGTGAATGCAGATTACAGGTTTGGGTGAGAGAGACAGGGAGAGACAGGGAAAGACAGAAGAGGCATGGAGTAGCGGGGAGAGATGGGAAGAGGAAGGGAAAGACAAGGAAAGACAAGGAGAGATAAGGAGAGACAGGGAGAGACAGGGAAAGACAGAAGAGGCATGGAGTAGCGGGGAGAGATGGGAAGAGGAAGGGAAAGACAAGGAAAGACAAGGAGAGATAAGGAGAGACAGGGAGAGACAGGGAAAGACAGAAGAGGCATGGAGTAGCGGGGAGAGATGGGAAGAGGAAGGGAAAGACAAGGAAAGACAAGGAGAGATAAGGAGAGACAGGGAGAGACAGAAAAAGACAGGGAGAAAAAGGAAGAGACGGGGAGAGACAGGGAAAGACAGAAGAGGCATGGAGTGGCGGGGAGAGATGGGAAGAGGAAGGGAAAGACAAGGAAAGACAAGGAGAGATAAGGAGAGACAGGAAGAGACAGAAAAAGACAGGGAGAGACAGAAAAAGACAGGGAGAAACAGGAAGAGACGGGGAGAGATAGGAAAGGCAGGAAGAGGCAGGGAGAGACAATGCAGATTACAGGAAAAGACAGGGAGAGAGAGAGAGAGAGACAGGGAGAGATAGGAGAGGCAAGGAGAGACAATGCAGATTACAGGAAGAGACAGGGAGAGAGGGAGAGACAGGGAGAGACAGGGAGAGACAGGAAGAGACAGGGAGAGAGGGAGAGGCAGGGAGAGACGTGGATAGACGGGGTGAGACGGGGAGAGATGGGAAGAGACAGGGAAAGACAGGGAAAGGCAGGGAGAGACAGGGAGAAACAGAGAGAGACGGGGAGAGACAGAGAAAGACAGGGAAAGATAGGGCGAGACAGGGCGAGACAAGGAAAGACAGGGAGAGACAGGAAGAGACAGGAGAGGCACGGAGAGACAGGGAGAGACAATGCAGATTATAGATTTGTGTATGAGTTTTTCGCGACGTAATTAAAGTATAATGAAATATAAAGAAAGGAGATGGAAGGCGCGCACGTAGCGCGCGCTGTGTGCTAGTTATTTAAAACAGTCGTGGCATCGATTACATTGTTACAATATTCGAGCTAATTTTAGACTTGGTTTCTAACCGGTTTTAATCTACATACGATTGCATCACATAGGCTATATGCAACATGCGTAACGATCAACTTGACATTATTGCATTATTCATAACACTTGTAGGTTTCTTGTTGAGAGATGGATATACAAAATATACAAGAAACAAATGCACTTTCCTTCTCGTACACTTTGTCTTTACATTTTATCGTAAATGTAGCTTTCATTAGCCTATATTGGATTTGCAGATTGAAAATAGATAATTGAAGATTGAAACTTGACCAATCGCGACGAAGCGAGCTAAGATAATTAGTTGATTTGTCATTTATAATCTTTAATCTTCACAATCTTCAATCTGCAATACCCAATCAGAAATAACCTTTAAAAAATCGTGAATATCAATAACATGAACGTTGACCAAACATTCGCATTCGTTTGTAGAATGAAGTTGACATTGGCATACGTTGGTCTCATTTTCTGTTATTGTAGAGATACATAAATGCTTGGTCTATATGTCATTGCTTCTTGAATCCTGTCTATATTTTAATATAAGGTAAAAATTCATTGTTGGTATTGTTAAATTTATTACTACCTCAATTATTCTATTACTACTTAGATCCCCTTATAGAAATATCATACTAAGGGTCAGTTTATCCAACCTCTTGCTAAGCTAACTAACAGTTAAATCTTATGTCTGTTTCTACCTAATTTAAAGGAGAAACAAAGACAGACGTATGAGTTAACTGTTAGTTAGCTTAGCAAGAGGTTGGAAAAACCGGCCCTAAGAATCATTGATAATTACTTATTTTCAATATTAAAAATACAATACCGGCCCTAAGAATCATTGATAATTACTTATTTTCAATATTAAAAATACTGGATAATAAATAATTATCAATGATTCTTAGTATGATATTTCTATAAGGGTCTAACACTACAATTGGTACAATTGTACGATGGCGGCTCATAGCGGAGACTTTGGAACTAATTTTCTAAAAATAAGGGGTCTAATGGCTCCTGTATACAGGACATGGAAATACCTGCCGCGCGGCAAGAAGCTATACGATAGCCAATAAACTTTCAGTTTTTATAGAAAAACGGTACATTGATTGGATATCGCATCGGCAATTCTTGCTGCGCGGCAAACGTTTCCACATCTTGGGCTGGTATTCCATTACCGTAATTCCGACAGTTGTCGGATCGGTAGGCGTCGTTGCGCAGTTTTTCCACGGTATAAAAAAGCTGCGCAACGACGCCTACCGATTCGACAACTGTCGAAACCACGGTAACGGAATACCAACCCTGTGCTGGGATTCTGTAACTCGCTATTGGAGTTAATAACAGTTTCGTTATCGTTGCGCAGCTTTTTTATACCGTGGAAAAACTGCGCAACGACGCCTACCGATTCGACAACTGTCGAAACCACGGTAACGGAATACCAACCCTGTGCTGGGATTCTGTAACTCGCTATTGGAGTTAATAACAGTTTCGTTATCGTTGCGCAGCTTTTTTATACCGTGGAAAAACTGCGCAACGACGCCTACCGATTCGACAACTGTCGAAACCACGGTAACGGAATACCAACCCTGTGCTGGGATTCTGTAACTCGCTATTGGAGTTAATAACAGTTTCGTTATCGTTGCGCAGCTTTTTTATACCGTGGAAAAACTGCGCAACGACGCCTACCGATTCGACAACTGTCGAAACCACGGTAACGGAATACCAACCCTGTGCTGGGATTCTGTAACTCGCTATTGGAGTTAATAACAGTTTCGTTATCGTTGCGCAGCTTTTTTATACCGTGGAAAAACTGCGCAACGACGCCTACCGATTCGACAACTGTCGAAACCACGGTAACGGAATACCAACCCTGTGCTGGGATTCTGTAACTCGCTATTGGAGTTAATAACAGTTTCGTTATCGTTGCGCAGCTTTTGTATATCGTAGAAAAGCTGCGTAATGATAACGAAATTGTCGTTAACTCCAATAACGAGTTATAGAATCCCAGTACTGGGTCCTTATTCTTGAAATAGTTGCATATACGTAAGTTTTACTGCGCAGGTTTAATCATACTATAAAATAGATGCGCAATTTAAATTACGTATACGCAAAAATTTCAAGAATAGGGGCTCTGCACTGGAATTCTGTAACTCGTTATTGGAGTTAACAGTTTCGTTATTGTTAACTCCAATAACGAGTTACAGAATAGGGCTACTGGGGCCCTATTCTGTAGGACTACTGGGATACTATTCCGTAACCACTTACCGACAATTGTCAGATCGGTAGACGTCGTTGTGCAGCTTTTTTATACCATAGACGTCTACCGATCCGACAATTGTCGGATAAGTTGTTACGGAATAAGGCCTCTGTGTGCAGAAGCAAAATGATCAACTACTCTTAATTTAAGGTGCGATCCACTAGACAGTGCAAACGCTTTGAAGCATTTATATGTTTCAAAGCAATTATAGCGTTTAATGGATCGCAAGCCGTTATTTCTGCAAAATTAGTTCTGAAGTTTTCGCTACGAACCGCCACCGTACACATTGACCTAGAGAACCTCTAGTATAGAGAATCGCCAACTTGGTCATGTGACCAGCTACTCAGCTACTCTGCGATTGGCTGGCATAAACATGTACGGATTTGGACATTGCGACGCCGATGTAAAACCATATATATATATAAGCATTTATTTGCATTGGCGTCGCAATGTCTAAATCCGTATATATTTATGTCAGCTAATCAGCTGGTCACGTGACCAAGTTGGCGATTCTCTGTACTAGAGGCTTTCTACATTGACCAATCGAAGTAATGATAGATTTAAGATAATCATATTAGAACAATTCAGTAGTGAAAAAACCATTAATATTCATTAAACCTTTTTTAGACATGAATATCAAAGATAGCTGATTGAAAATTGCTTAAACAATCACGACCAGGCGAGCTAAGAAAGAAATTAGTCGAGTCGTTAATTATATTCTTTGATCTTGCTAATCTAGGTTGTATTCCAAAACATCTTTTTCGAGGAAAATTTTACTTTTAAATCTATAGTTCATCTTACATATACTATAGACTTGAGAATAAAATTTTCCGCGGAAAGGAATGTAACCCTACAATATAAGATAATATCTAATCAGAGACGGATTTGAAAAATTCAAAAGTTTGAAAATCAAAATGAATCTCCATTACACCACAATAGAAATAATGAACACGGCGCCAAATGGAGCATTGTGCAGCAAGGATCGTTTGAGAATTTCCGACAGAAAATATCGCCCTGTTACGGTAAGTGCGTTTGGACTAATAAACGCTTCGTACAATCGTCTAATTATCGCAGCCTTATTTAGCGCGCTTATTATATCATTATTGATGTTAAACGGCCGGAACCGTTACGTTTGTACAGGTGCAAAAACGCATGTGAGATCGTGCGGTTAGAACCGACGATAGAGAGAACAAGTTCTTTGAAAGGATCCCTCCCGGCCCGTTTAGTCTCAGTTAACGCGTGACAGTCGCGCGTGTCGTTTGTATTGTGTCCGCACTCGTGTGTACATATCGTACTCTAGCAATTATCGCGTTTTGTGACGCGATAAACAGAAATAAGTAAAAAATTATTCACTTCCTTCACGAGACGTGTGACAAATGACGTTGTCATATCGTTATCATGCAGTGTGCCCGCCGTGCACGCAATGGATGACGCAAAGTGAGGTTAAGTCCTGAGAGTACCGGGCACCCCGCGACATGACTCTCGCACAAAGAAGATGAGGCGAAACGTCATCAGCTTGATCAAATTCTTCTTCCTGGCGGCCTTCACGGTGTTCCTCACCGTCGTGGTATTTCGTTACATGCGGACGCCGCCTAACCGTCAACTCTCGACGTCGCTCGACGCCTTGATCGCGGCGGTCGCCGTCGGCCGCAGGACTCCCGGAGACAGCAACCGGGAGAACGACGAGCGTCCGGATCAGGTATTTACCAGCCGGAATCAAGAGAGAGATCTACGTGATATCCTTGGACTCAATTGTCCGTCACGGTAGCTTGAGCATCGCGCGTCAACAGAGAGTAGAAATCGGTGGTAACGTTTCGTTGATTTCGATTTTCTCTGACGCGCTCGCACATCGATTGTCGAGTACGAGGGAGAGTATTGAAACCGGTTTTAAATTCGCGAGCTGTAATTTTCTGTAGTGTGGAAATGCGCGAGAGCGAGAATCCTCGCGTCGATCGACGGACGTTTACACGCACGCATGAATCGCGAGGATCATTTTCGCATGTTATGATTTTGGAATCTGTTGTTATCGTGTACCGATTATGATGCGTTTTGATCGGTGTGCATCTTGGAAACCTATTTTCTTTGTATGCAGTGATTAACACAAACGAGTTCTCATCTCGGTCTCTCTCGCATTCCTAGTGATCAGGAGCGTACGAAAGCGATTGTATATCCAGATGATTTAGTTCTCTCTTTAATTGTACAGATTTTGTTGATCTTTAACTTTGTAATATAATGGTCTAGTTTTAGTTATCTAAATTCTTAGTTGTTTGAAAAAAGTAATTGTAATTTTGATGAGAAGAAAATATGGAATTATATATTGTAAAAGATTCTTACTTTATGTGTATAAGTATGCTTAAGTAATGGAAAATTAGTTTTCTTTTCAACAAGATTCATGAAATTTTCTTTCTTATTGCTGATTCCAACATATTTTATAGTAGATTTAGTTACATACAGATTTTAATTATTGATATTTAATGTAATGCAATAGTTTTGAGTTTTGATATTCTTGGTTGTTTTAAAAAATAATTATAATTTTGATAAAAGAGTATGAAATTACTCATTGGAGCAATATATACATTGTTTATAGTATATTGGAGTAAATTCATATTTTATGCCTGTAAATGTACTTATATAATGGAAAATAAAAGTCTTCCTTATAACAAGACTTGTGAAACTTTATTTGCTATTGCTAATTTTAACATATTCTATAGGACATGGATGACAAAATCGATTGGCATGACTACAAGAAGATTGAAGCAGAGAGTAAGCAAACTGGAATGGGGGAGCATGGCAGACCAGCCTTCCTCTCCCCATCTCTCGACTCACTGAAGGAAAAATTATACCAAGTAAATGGATTCAACGCTGCTCTCAGCGACGAGATCTCCGTAAATCGATCAGTGCCTGATATTCGTCATGCAGACTGCAGAAAGAAGAAATACTTGAGAAACCTAGATCCTGTTTCTGTAATAGTGTCTTTCCATAACGAGCATTTCAGCACATTGCTGCGGACTTGCTGGAGCGTGATCAATCGCTCACCGCCTTCTCTCCTGGAGGAGATAATACTGGTCGACGATGCCAGTACGAAGGTGGAATTGAAGAAGAAGTTGGACGACTACGTCGCCAAGAACTTGCCAAAAGTAACGATTGTACGATTACCAAAACGTTCGGGATTAATTAGAGGCCGATTGGCGGGCGCAAAGAAAGCCAGAGCTAACGTGCTAGTATTCCTCGATTCGCACAGCGAGGCTAATGTGAACTGGTTGCCACCGCTGTTGGAACCTATCGCGCAAGACTACAAAACCTGTGTTTGTCCGTTCATCGACGTGATAGCTTATGAGACCTTCGAGTACAGAGCGCAGGACGAAGGCGCACGTGGCGCATTCGACTGGGAATTGTATTACAAGCGGCTTCCACTGCTTCCAGAAGACCTGAAGAGACCCGCGGAACCCTTCAAGAGTCCCATAATGGCGGGTGGTCTGTTCGCTATCAGTACCAAGTTCTTTTGGGAACTTGGCGGTTACGATCCGGGCTTGGACATATGGGGTGGCGAACAATACGAGCTGTCTTTCAAGATCTGGCAGTGCGGCGGACAGATGTATGACGCACCGTGCTCTAGAGTCGGTCACATTTACCGCAAGTTCCCGCCATTCCCCAATCCCGGCCGTGGCGACTTTCTCGGGAAGAATTACAAGAGAGTTGCCGAGGTATGGATGGACGAGTACGCGGAATACATCTACAAGAGACGGCCACACATGCGCGCATTGGACCCCGGAGATCTGTCAGAGCAGAAGAACCTGCGTGTGAAATTGCACTGTAAGCCGTTCAACTGGTTCATAGAGAACATAGCCTTCGATCTCGTGGAGGTTTACCCGCCGATTGAGCCAGACGACTTTGCCTCCGGCGAGATCAGGAACATGGGTGCGACAGATCTCTGTCTGGACTCCAAGAAGCGGAAGAGGGACGAGCTGGTTGTCGTGGACACCTGCATTAAAGACAATCCGAGAGTGTTCGGGGAGCAGGAGTTCCGGCTGACCTGGCATAAAGATATCAGGCCGAAGGATCGCACAGATTGCTTGGATGTGTCGAGAGGCGAGGAGAAGGCGCCAGTAAGCCTATATCCTTGCCATGGGAAACAGGGCAATCAGTTGTGGCGTTACGACGTCGAGAAGCAGTGGCTGATGCACGGTTACTCGTCCAGATGTCTGGATACCGATCCGGGTAGCAGGAAAGTCTATGTGACTGCTTGCGACAAATCTTCGGCCACCCAGAAATGGCGAATAGAGCAGGTCAACATGAAGGCCATTAACAATTGGGAGAACATAGGACCCAAGCTCAAGTGAGAGAAAAGAACCTCTTCCCTCATACTGCCATAAAGTTTCATAAGTAGATTTCTCGCGTTGGGTTCCTACTTGTCTAGAAATCTAAGAACAATTCATTTATATATGTATATTCCTAGTTACTAGTCATCGCAAATTCTCCATTTGGACAATATACCGCACCTGTATTAGCAATCGATGACGAGAAAAAAAAAAGAGAGAGAAAGAATCGACCATCGCGTAAATCATTTTGCACGTAGAGTAAGGCAAGATTTTGGTTCCTTGGCAATACGGATGGGAGAGCTAGTGTCTTCGTATCGGTACGCTTATGTCTCCACTATACATATCGCATAAGCGCTCTATCGTGCCTTACATTACATAGCCACATTTAGAAGTACGATATACGAATCGTATATCGTACAATTTTAACACACACACACACACACACATACATACATATATATATATTATATATATATATATATATATATATATTATATATATATATATATATATATATATATATATATATATATATATATATATATATAATGTTTATTTCTTCGCTCAAATTAATATTACGACACACATCAGCATTATATCCTTTTAATATATATCTCGTATTAAGCAGGACTGATATTTCATTTACATTATAGTATAAGTCGTTGCAATAAAATCAAGCAGAGTATTAGATGCTCTGCTGAGAAATCGCGCAAGTGCGATTATATAATACTTACAAAGATTCATTCCATTATTATTAATTCATGTAACATGAACGATTGTTTAACTGTATAAACAAATATTACGAGCGGATTAATGCAATCAGAAAACACACGAAATTATTTTTCGGTTTTGATGCATCGTCATGAGCAGATTGCAGAATAACTTAAAACATATGTGGTATACATTTTGTTCTCGACAACAGCGTTATAAAATAGATTAAAACATAGTAACATCTGCCTTGGTATTGAAGAAATTAGATAGAAAAAAATAGTGATATAGATTGTCGGGAAAAATACAAATAAATTACCTATTCCCCGCGATTATTACACATTATTTTGCAATGTGTCCACATGTGATCGATATCGATTGAAACGCATTTAGACAACAAATCAGAGCTGTTTGAAATGTCTATTCGATACATCTATCGGTGTATTCGCTTATGTTAGTGCTTGTGCACGGATCTTTAATAAATACAGCATGGTGAGCGAACATCAGAAAGGAATTGTTAACTGTCTGTGATCGTTGGTGTCTGGACTAATCTTTGATTATTATGACTATTTTTATAACGACTATTTATGTATGATTTAATAAACGTTTGTATTGAACACCCTTATATATCCAAATAAATGCAAGTCCCGAAACCTTGACAGTAAATCATATACGACAAAGTTGTAGCATCAATCAACCAACAACACTCCTCACCGCATGTTATGTTCATCTTTCGCGGCAATATTTCAGGAATATTTTAAACTAAATGTTCACTTACCTCTTGCACTAGCGCATTCCCCATCGGGGTGTGCCATGCGTTGCATTGCGGTGGGTGCAACTCCCAAAGGCATTGAAACTTTCTGACCGAGCACTGTCGTGCTTATATCCCTCTTGGACACGTCCCGCAAAAATCTGGGACGTATTCTGTATCTGCGAGAATACAATGAAGAATTAGAACAATCGTGCAACAATTGATCAACAAATGATTATATCGTTGTAAAACAAATTGCGACAAAACTTGTATGAAAGTGTATACACATTTTCCAAAACCGCCAAGTACTTCAACTTAGTTTTTGCAACTGTAGTTTTAACTAGATGGACTGTGTAAACGATTGTATTTGTGCAACAAAAACGTTCACAAAAAAATTGCACGTACAACGCCATCACGCTCAATATACACTTGGTATCGGTCGAGATTAGCGTTCGATTTTAATTATTTCGAGAAGAAATTTGTGAATTTACTTGTTAAACGCCTCCTTGTTTAATTTTACACTGTACTCCGCCCCCGCGCCGCTTTTATAGTAATCTCTCACAGAAGTAGGCAAATGTTTCAGAGCATGTTCCTCGTAGTCTTCGACACACACGTACGCTGTCATTTTCGGATTGTTTTAGCAAACTAGTAAATCTGAAAATTAATGAATTTATTTTATCACAAATTAGAAAATTTAACGAAACAATTAAGGCTCCTTTACAATTAATGTGAATAACAAAGCCAGTGTAAGATCTCACTTCTAAAAGGTTTCAAAAAAATTTCTCCAAGAATTCTTGCTTTTCACAAAGAAGGTATGTTTCTTCTTTAAAAAAACTCTAGTGTGAGTTCTTCAATTTTCAAAAGACGACTAAAATCCCAGGTAGCAAGGTGATGTCTAAAGACGTCATTAAAATGTCATTAAGACGTCATACACGTCTTAATGACATCGTAATGACATCATTGACGTCTTTATAATGTCGACATTGCTACCTGAGATGTGTGGACAACTCTTGTGAAAATTCGTATAAATGCTCCTTTTTCACTTTTATTCTCACGACTGAGTGAGTTTCGCAATTAAAATCTTACATTGGCTCTTATTAGCTTCTTTTTATGGTGAAATCAGAAAGATATTAATTGGTGAATTGCGATCTGTAGCAAAAGTAACATTTCATCGTGTTTTTCTTTCGTAAATGGATTATAGCGAAAATTTCTGCATTAATGCCAAGCGCTCGTGTCTTTCAATTTATAACTCGCAATCGATATAATGCGATTTTGCTCATGAGTATTATATCTAACGATAAAGTAATGTTAGATAGTGTAATAATAATCTTATCTATGCATTATTGCATGATCGAAATTATATGATATTATCTTATTATTTTGTTATTATTATTATGATTGCATAATGCGTTATCGCTTATGCGCGGAAAGAATGAAAGTCAAGGCGCGCATGTATGCGATAATGACGCGCGAGATATAATGACTATTTTTAAATAAAGTATAGAAACGTTGTAGCTGTTGAACGATAATTACGATGGCTCGGCTACGGTTAAAGGGTACATAGCTTCACATTTAGCGCACTAAATTAATAAAGTCAAAGCAGGCGACTTATAATTTTGCGAACAGTCGAAATGCTTTGCGCTGTTTACTTTCTCTTATACAATTGTTCTAATGCTCACAGGATGTTGCCGCAAATTTATCGAAATATAATATACAGTGCACTCGGTTTCGAAACAGTTTCAACACTTTCCTCGATGCAACGCGCAGTCAATATCTAATGAAAGAACTTGCCCAGTAAGCAAGGAACATTAAATTAACGTTTAGAAACGTTGACTTCATGTGCATTGTTTGGACATTTTTTAATAATATTGCATTTATATTTTTCACGTTATTTTGCGATATGATTTTTCTGAATGTTGTTTAAACATTCTAAAAACATTACAAAAAATATATTTTTCAAATGTTATTTTAACATTTATTTGAGATCAATGCAACATCTTAAAAATATTTCTGACGATTAAAACGTTATGGCAACCCTATTTTAACATTATTGAAACTTCCAAATCGCGGTCAAAGTATGTTCATAATAATGTTCAATACAATATTAAAAACTACATATTTGACAATATTACAGGTTCTTGAATATCATTGTAGTAACGTTATATTAATGATTTCTTGCTTTCTGGATATCCTTTAAAAATTATTAAAAAACAAGTTCTATTAGACCTCAACTGCATCTTAAACTACTTTGAGAAGAAAATTGTTCAAACGATGTTGAAATTAAGTATATACGGCGATATTGATAGTGATAACGTCAACATAGTAATCGATAGGATATCTTGTTTGCTCTATTACGAAAACTTTGCCGACAAGGTTATAAACTGACGAAGCTTACCGCTTGAATTACTCGCTGACTTCATTCGCTCATTTAAATCGTCAACAGACAACTGACTGTCTTGAAGCAGAATTCTGTAGATAAGACAGTGGTGATTAAAGATGTACCTCGGTTCTGCTCAGTTGTAACTGATAAAACTATTTCAACTTCTGTTTGAAATATCACTAAACTAATATCTGTTTTTGTTCAAAAACACTGTGCATAAATACATCGATTATCTTCTTTGCTTATTAAGAATTAATGGTAACTCTCATTAAGTCTTTCACATATTGAAAAAATAAATAAATTTTAGCAAATTATATGTTCTCATATACACACAAAGCAACAAGTTACAGCGATAGTGATTATGGAAAATTGAAAAGTCGAGATCTCGCGTTTAAAAAGTAATAATGAAGCTTACTGTCCAAATTGATCACTGTCTTCATCCACTCATCTCGATTATCCACAGACGACTGACTGTCTTGAAGCAGAATTTCGCGAATAAGAGAGTGACAATCAAGAGTGTATCTCAATTAGGTTATTTTTAGTCGTGCAACTGATAAAACTTTTAATTTAAGGTCTACTTGTGTAAAAGTGCGTTATGTTTGAATACATTGATTATCTTCTGCCACTGTCGAGTATAACTTGATAACGACGATCAATAAGCCTTTCACGAATAGAAAGAACCAGAAGTAATTTTGACAAATCATATATTCTCGTTTCAGTGAGTATTCTGGGAGCGTCCCGATTGCCCACAGTACGATTGCACACAAACCAATCGATGATAAGAATTATCTAGTGAATTACCAGATCGAACCAATCATTACAATTTGTGGTCAATCGTACTGTCGGCAATCGGGACCCTCCCGAGAATTCTTCTCAAAGAATTGAAAGCTGATAGTAAAGCGTTTTTAAGGGGGCATACACCTAGATGGATCAAAACGAAGTCTAATTTTGCGAATTTTTTGTGGAAAAACGGATAGAGATAGAGAAATCGGGTTTATTCCATTGTAAAGATGATACTTTTCCCTATTTACCATTACCATGTTTATTAAAATATAAAATGGAGGCACTATTCAAATTTCCATGCGTCATGTTTTCTGAAACAGGATTTGCTATGACCATTGCTGCTCGCACAGGACTCATCTGAAAGCAAAATGTCACAAGTATTATAAAATTTAAACATAGATCTTATGCTTGACGTAGTTTTTCAAAATATTATATTTAAATAAAATGGCAGCTGGTCAAAGTTAACATAACGATTTTTCTCAAAAAATGTTCGTTTTTAGCTACGAAAAAAAATTAAGCATCGTAGGAAAAAAATCCTACGTCAACGTTGCTAGTTTTCAGTATATAGAAAAAATGTGTAAAATTGCAAATCGATCGATCGAGCCGTTTTCAAGATACAATGGTCACGCGTTTTGAAAACTACGTTTTGAGAAAAACGCGTTTAAAGTTTTACATTCAGTTTACACTACAAAAACAAAAGTTTTTTTACACTTACACTGAATTGTCTACTCCAGGATCATAAAGCAAACCTTCTACCGAAGTGGCTGCTTCTAGAAAATCGCTTTAGTGTTATCGGCGACGTATTTCCTCTCCTCCTTTGTGTTGTTTAGTGCACGCACCTGTCTGTAGTATGCGGTCCTCGTCTTCTGCAGCGACATATACATGTGCAAGGCCTACCTGCACTTGCATTTCTTGAAGAGTTTGTAACAATGCTCGTGCACCTTCATTAAATATGTCGTAATATAAGTAGCTAATTTCACAGTTATAGCGTCACTGTACATAGTTACCCAACCGTTCGTGTTTTGAAATCCAACTCTGAGGCTTGCTACTGGTAAATACAATGAATAGAAAAAGACCCTTTTTTGACCTGCATGAATTTGAACGGTTCTGTCGCAAATGCATCTACCTGTTGTCTTCAACGCGCTCGAACCTATTCATCTATAGTTATGTGTAACTCCTCTATTTTCCGCTGAATTGATTTAGACTCGATTTACAATAGATAGAGTAAGGAGTAGGAGTAGGAGTAAGACGAAATGGAAATAATTATTTCGCTTACTCCCTTACTCCAATAAAAGTTTATACATCACATGGAGTAAGCCTGAATTAAGTAGTAAGTGCTGAAGTAAGGAGCTGGAGTAAAGGAGTAAGCGAAATAAATTATTCTCATTTCGTTTTACTCCTACTCCTGCTCCATCTATTGTAGATCGGGCCTTATAACAACGTTAACAAAAACGTTCTTAAGACATTATACTTTAAAAATATGTAAAAAAAATCGATTTTTTCATCACCTCTTGGTATATATGCCTCCTTAAGTCTTTGAGTCAAAAGTGCTTTGCGCTTTGCGCAAATTCCAATGTTTCAATAGTAGTTTAAATTTAGACTTAGGTTCACATCTAATATACTATGAAAATAAGAAATTATGTAAATTTAAACTACTGATAAAAAATCGACTCCAAGACTTCTACAGCGGAGAAATCTGAGGAGACGGGTCAGTGTGCGTGAAGGGAAGAAGAGAAAGAAGAGAACAAGCTCGTCTGTTTAAACTGTACTTTATTACATTCTGTTAGAAATAATACACAAAAGATTTCGGAGGCGGCAGAGGTCTCCTTACTGCGGAAACACGCAGGACGTGTGGGTGTCGCCCGTGTTCGTAAGTGAAAGCCCCCCGCAAAAATTGGCAAACCGTCGCCCGCAACCCCCCGTACATATGTGTGTGTGTGTGTGTATACATATTTTTATACGTGTGTATTGCGTACATGAGTGTGTATGTGTATGTGTGTGGTGCGTTCTCTTCTCTCTAGTTCAAGTCATCCAGCGACCGCGCGCGCACGCCAGCACGTTGCATCTAATTAAGAGAATATACAATCTTAATAATTATACTTATATTATATTTATATATATAATATGTATATCGAAAGAGTCTGCGAGGGACCATAAATAATCGCGCGGGTCGGCGGTGTGGAAGGGTCGCAGGATCGGTTGGCGAGTTGGTTACGAGTCCGACGAGTTGTAAATGAAACAAATGCCTGCATAAATGCGCCATTTAAACGGATATGTAGCGCGTAGGGCGACCTGAGCGCTCTTGTATCTTCTTCTTTTTTTTATCGTTTTCTCCTGCTTTTTTTTTCTACTTGGGTGCCAGTATCGACGATAAATCTCGTCGTCCTCTCGTCTCCCCTTTCCCTTACGCGAATTCAAAAGACCCCGGCAAGACGTATGAAGAACCGAAGAAACTTCCCGCGCTCTCAGATTGATCAAGATTTCGCGCGTTCTTTGAAGCGCGTTGATTTCTCGGCGCGTCTTTCGGATTTTCGCTCTTCTCGGAGCGTTCGAGCCTCGTTTCCTCGCGATTGAGAATCCGGGAAGTGCTCGAGGACGAGAGCATGAGCGAGAATTTTACGTAAGCCTCGTAGTTTCTTCATCCGGAACGCGTATAACGCTCGTCGTTGTGTTTCATCGCGAAATAGCTGATGATTCGTGACGAAGAACAAGGAGGATCCTGAGCGAAGACGTCGTGAGCGCGCGCTTACTCGATCATCCGTAAGCATCTTAAACGACGTTTACCTGCTATCTCAATTGTTGCATGTTCAATTTTCCTTAAACGATGTTCGCGATTACTATAGCGGTAAATTACGATCCGGTTATTATCTTCGAATGTATGATGTAGAAAAGGATTTCAAATCTCTGACTTTCACGACATTCTTTCCAACTCCTCCTCCAAGTCCATCGCGAAGAATCGCTTTGGGAAGTCCTGTAGTTTTCCCGTGTTTTTGTTGACATTACAGCATCAAACAGCGAGAAAATTTCGCGTCGGGACGCGTGTCCCATTTTCGCCCGCGGTTTTTTGTTACGGCAGGTTCGACGATCGAGTCAAAATTGCGCCACGTGCAAAACACAGATCTCTTTTTCTCTCAACATTTATCAGACTTCATATTCTTCTCACTCTTCCCCATGTATGTGTGCGTATTGCAATTACTCAAGCGGGGGAGAGGAGGACGAGAGTAGTTAAACATGAATCTGAAATCGGTGTTTGGTACGTCAGTGGTTTTGTTACATTTTGAGATCGCAAATAGCACAAATGTCCAAGGACTATCCGAAAGATCTACGCTCGAAGGATGCCCTTTTGACATCTTCCTTGATGTTGCTAGGACGTTTCTGGCGGCCGTATTAATTTTACATCAATCCTTTCGTTCGTCCTCTTTTTAAATCATTGACTTCCTTTCACTGTCGCATGCCGTGCATCCTTATCGAGTTCCTGTGTAGATCCTCGTATTTTACATGTACTTGCCCTGTAAATCTCGCGCAAGCGACAATAGTTTTCTTTATTTCGCTGATATCTATTAACCAGTACAATGTTATTACATTGAGACGAAAAATATCTAAAAAATAAAAGATATTTGGTGGGTACGCTGAAAAAAAATATTTGAAAATTTATTTGTAAGAGAGATATATAAAGTTTATTCATAGAAATAAACTTTATTTATTCATAGTTATCGTGAATAAACTTCATTTATTCATATTGTGAATGAATTTTATTTATGCACATTGTGAATAAACTTTCATTCACAGTCATTGTAAATAAACTTTATATGCTACAAATGAATTTTCAAGTATTTTTTTTCTGAATATTTACCCGTACTAATATATACAAATATTTTTACATTAAGAAAATATTTTTCTTTAAATCAGAAAATATTATCATAAAATCGTTGCTTTTCAGGAAAACGATTGTTTATTCTATTTAATCATTATCCATTTAATAAAAGAATTTAGATTTATGGTAATTTGTACCCATCGCGAATATTTTTTAGATATTCTTTCTCTCAGTATTCAATATTTCTCGATCGCCCACTTCAAATCGCGTGGGTCGTCCCTCCTTCGATCGTGCCGTACGTAATTATTCAGTGTTATTAACGTGACGTCGATTAATCGTCCATTATTTAATAACGTAATTGAGCGCAGCGTCTCGCACATGTCTCTTCTTGATGACACACTTACGTCTCGGTGATTATTCTGTACACACGCATTATCGTTTATCTTATATTCCTGCATCTAACCGAGTCTCATGCAGCTGAATTAAATTAGTCTGCGACGTTAAATGAATTAAATGAATTAATGAACTCGCGGGAGTAGCAGATTCCGGAGTTATCGCTCGGGAAAAACGTAGGAAAAACAACGTTAATAAACAACAAGGACATGCAACAACAAAAACGCAAAAAAGACCAGACGCTCTTCGGATACCACCAAACCACTACGTAGCGCACCACGTGCGATAAATATCTCTCTATGTACCTCCATCGCGATGTCGCAATTGACGAGTGCAATAGCGCGAGTTAGAGCGCGATTGCGTTTACATTTTAATTATGCACGCCGCGCCAGTAAACCTCCAACTCTCGCTGCGACGCGATCTGCGCGCGCGCGCGCGATGCGAGACACAACCACAGGATATCGAGTTATATATTTGGTGCAGCAGGTTTGCTCGCGCGTCACGTTTCTATACCTTTTCTTGCTTTCCGGAGCGATATGCGTATTTGGTTTCGTGTGAAGAAAGCGTAGAAACTACGTGACGGCGGGGCAAACCTGTTTGCATACATCCGGGGGATGATGTAATTCGCAGGAATTTTAAATGTACGTCTCTATGTGTAAATCATATGTCTCTCTCTCTCCCTCTC